GCAATATACCTCATCCCCAAGTGAGCTAGAAAGTATTAAGAGAGTAAGAAATGCTAAGATATTGATAGTTGTCTCCCCCCAGTCTTAACTGAAAATGGCAGATGAAATATTTGGTTGATCTAGGAAAAACTGTCACCATCAAATGGTGGGGGGATTTGATGAAAGATGAAAGCCAAGATTTTATAAAGGAACCAAAACAATTATCAGGAGAAATAGTTGTACTTAAATTTGTACTTTGCTTCTATTATTCCTTTACAATCTGAGAAGCCCTTTCACCCTCTCATGCATTTTGTTAAAGAAATAACTAAGGTGAAAGAACAATTTCACAAAGGAGCTGTAAGATAATACTTTAACTAACCATAGCTTTGTGTGCATGAATTTGAAAAATCACCAGATGGTACTCCCATCAGTTCATGAAACCTGTTTGGTAAAGTGATAATAGCTGTCACAAAATGACAGTTTTTAAACTAACTAAATACAAGGTCAAGTTAGTAAATAAAGGCAGCAGTTAAATAGGACTCACATTGATAATGCATTAAAGTAATACTGAGAGCAACCGAAGCACACAAAATCACAATATATCTGAAAATACCACAACGTTCTAGATTTGTAACTGGAATAATATACTGATACTACCTTTATTAAAGACTGCCTGCTACATTAGCATGTTGTGAGTAAAAGAAAATCTGTTAAATATGCTAAGAAACAGAAAAAGTTTAAAGCCTATTTTTGAATCACTATAAATGCAACTTTCATATGCGGCTTTCAAGAAAAGGAAACATTTCAACATTGTATAGGTGGGGTGTAAGGCTGTGTTAATCTTGGGCTAAGAAGATACCACAGGATGAGTTACCCCAAAATTTGTCTTTGGCGAAAAAGCCAAACATAAAACATATCTTAAAGAAAGGCTGCCTCACTGATTCTTTCTTTTCAGCTTTGGTAATTCAGAATGATTTTGTAACTTTAAGAGGACAACTTAATTTCTATTAATACATTATGGTTTAGAAAAAGAAAAGAGAGACCAGACAGTTAGGAAAATAGGACTTGGTATTAGGCTCTAACAAAGCTGCTGGTTCTCTGTGTTGTCTTTGGAAAGTTATTTTCTCCCAAAATAATTTCCTTTCTATGATGCAACAAAGGACAGCAATTACTTGCTTTTGTAATGTCTTTTGAGCTCCTCAAACAAAATTCTATCTAAATGCAAAATATTTCTATTACCATAGACTAAAGACAGATGATAGAACATAATTACAAAGACTAACAAATCAATGAAGCATTTCAGTATACATAGGACTCCAACTGTGTATTTGTATTTCTGTTGAATTAGAATCACAATCATCTATTGCAAATTAAATCCAGTGTTCTTGCACAATTCTTCTTTCTTGAACCTATAACGCAGTGCCTGTCAGCTGATTCAACTGATGGTATCTCATAGATGTTACATACGTATACGAGACCAACATACATGATGTAGCTTGCTGGACCTAAATTTGAGGAGAAATGCAAGAGCCTCATCTGAAATAAGGAGCCTCAAAATTTCAGTTCAAACCACTTACTTAGTCCCATGGCACTTATAGTTTATAAGAGCCTGTTTTCAGCACTGAAATTTTTCAGATGCCCAAACGTTTTCTTCTGATCAAAAGCACATTTTCTTGTAAGGACAAGTGACTCACCACCCAACTACACCGGCCTATTTAGGGGCTATTGCACTCCTTGAAATGAGATTATGTCTCTTGGTAATAGAAGAGTTAAAAAGAAAAAAAAACAATCAAAGAGCAGGCAACAGTGCCCATGACACTCTGACCCAGCGATTGAGACTCTTACTTTGACAGAAGGAATTGTGAGCTCCAAACTCTGCACCAAGAACTGTTTCTCTGTATTAATAACCTAAAACTCATAGTTCCTGTATTGATTTTACTTCATCCATCTCCCTTCCAATGCACATCTGACACTTGCAAAATGCCCCTGTGAGGAGGAAGCGTGAGTAATCCAGTCACTGAGACTCTGGCCTGGCCTTATTGCTGCCAGCTGTGAAGTAAAAGAGAGAATGACCTTAAAGCCCTTTTATGAAGAAAGGACACGTCAGCTACAACAAGAAAAGACTCAGCTACGACAGGAAAAGATTCGTATCTCTAAACTCTAAATATGGGGATTACATGGTAAAATGCCTACAGCCAAAAGGGATCGTATTTAAGACCTTTTTTGCCAAAGATTTCATTATTAGAGGATTACTGAGGGCCTACATGCATAGAACAAATCCAAATTCTGCTGCCATTCCTTTTGTTAGTTTTTATTTATTTCTATACCAACATTTCTTTCTTTGTTATATTAGGGACCACAGTAATGGATTAATTCAGTTGGAATTATAATATTTCTATTAAACTTCAGTTTCACAACAATCTTTTCTTCTGTTGAACAGCCAATTTCCCCTTAAAAGCAAAATATTTCTAGCAGAAATTATGATAAGGCACTGTCTGCCTAAGTAGACAGGAACATGAAGTTTGTATTTTAAGTCCACAGGCATATTTCAAATTTTTAAAAAAAGAGGCAAGGATGACAGAGTTTCATTTCAGATTGCAGTGTCACACTAAAAATTAAATTTCTTAGTTTTGATAACTTTCAAAAACTGTAGGCATCAAATATTACCAAGCTGCAATATTAAATATTTCCACCAGATGTCTCTGATATATTATTTTACACAGAAAGTTACATTTGAGTTACTACACTTCAAACTGAATGTAAGTTTTGCAAAATATTAAAGAAATAAAGAGAAGAAAGCTGAAACTAAATATTTATCTGTTTAGATATGGATACCTTAGGACTGTCCCTAAGCTGCCATCAGTTCTACAATGTTACCTAAAGAAACAGAAATTTTTTGGACTAACGTTTTGGCAAATGTTTAAAAGAAAAGTTCATGGCTTTCACTTTTAAGAGGCACATCAGATCATGTCTCGATATCTACCTACATTTTCAGACCAAGATAAGGCATGACTGGGTTTTAGGTTACTAAGAAATATTTTGGGTTTTGAATCAGAAAGAGAAAACTAAAGACAACTCTGTTTTCAGAACTCTTTCTGATGTAACTGTGCAGTAATCCAGTTACTTATTAATAGCCTTTGTGGATTACTCCCACTCACCACCTTGAAATGTTCACCCAGATTCTGTCAGCCTGAGTCAGTACATAAGCAATGCTCAATACATATAAACCCAGTGCCAGAAGAGAATTTCAAGGACAAAAGGGAAAATTCGGCACTGCTAATTCTCAGACCCATGTTTCACTGAGTTATGCTTCAAAGGCATCTTTATAAGAGAATTCCTACAGAATCCTTCTCATTTCTCTGTGCTTCAAGCAGCACTCAGTGTTTCTGACAGACATGACAGAGCAAGCTTTGCCTTAGAGTCACTTACATATATGAGCGACTGTACATACATGCACATCTATATTCACCTCAAAAAGCCTACTCATTTATTCAAAGTAGATTATACCTGAAAATAAAAGACTCAAAAGTCTCTAAAGGACCAAGGATAGAAGACACATATTATTTACTAGGGAACTGAGGATACTATCCCTGAAGCAGTGTGGGGTGGATTGTTGCCTTACATAAAAGCCAAATCCATCCTTTTCATGGTTCTCAACATATTTTACACAGGTTTATTAGACTTTGAATTTTGCTGAGAGATATGGGAGTATACCTTTATTCACAGCAGACAGGATGGGTCAAATCAGTTACAACCCACCTTCTCAAAAGATACTTCCATTTAGCAACAAGAGTTCTCTCCAGAATAATCAACCTATAGTTTCAAATAACTAAGATGACAAATGCTCAACAGCACTGGAGACATTCAATTTTATCTATCAAAACTTGCAACTAAAAGAACAAGAAGCATACCAATGACAAGTCATGTACTGAGTTCTTCAGCCAATTCAGTAATATAGCATGGCATCTCTGCATCTCATTTATATCACAGAAATCTTTCAATAAGTCATGTTTTCCATAACAGCAGAAACACAGAAATTTCAAGAGCTAATCTCTGGGGCAATGCTAAAATATAACTGTTGTGTGGGCTGGTGACAAAAATAGCTCCTTTAAAATAGGTAAAAAAAATTTCTTTCCTTATTTCTATTTAATTCCCTTTGAAAAAAAATTAAGGCCATATACTCAATCCTTAAATTCGTACAACCCAACAACTCTTCCAGATAAATGTAATACGGATTTAAGCTTTCCTCTTCAAAATGGATTCAGTTGTTGTAGCAAAGTTTCCAGAAACAGTTTGGTTATCTAGAATTTTAAAGCCCAAAGCAAAAAAAAAAAAAAAAAAAATCACTGTGTGTTCTGAGCTCACTACCCATGAACTCTGCTCTAAGATGAAGTCATACAGCAACACTGTCCAAGCATGCAGTGCAGAGATATGGCAGGTCATGTATACTTTATTTTTTGTGGGGGCAGAGGGAAGAGGAGCATCACTCTGCATTTTCTGAAGTAATATAATGCGATATATAACCTACTATCATAAGAAGTGCTACAATAAAGATGTATAGTACGTATAAGCATTTACAAAGATGCTTGGACTGCATCTGTCCAGAGAGTAAGAGACTACTTTTCCCCTCAATTACATAATTTGTCAAACACAGCAGAGTATATAAATATTTATTATTAGGAAAACACCTTTCTTTACTTTTAATTTAGCATGCAGAATCAACTGACATTAAGTTTTTATGAACAGCCAGGCCACCACAAAAGGGGCATACAAGTCACACATGGTTCACTACCTGGCAACAATGCACATAAACAGTGTTTTTATTAGACAATCCCTCTAAAGAAAAAAAAAAAACAAACCACAAAACCAAAAAAACCCCACAGTATATGAAAAATAAGATCTGTTAAATCAAAAGACCTTGTACTGGGCAGTACACAAGCAAAATAATTTCTATGTAAAGGTCATCTTCAGTTTTTATTACCTTTTGTTTGTGTCTCTTAATTTGAGGAACTGTACAATACCTGTCCAGTATATGCAAAGTCCAGGGCTTGTTTTAAACCAAGGCTTGTGACACCATGCAAATTCACCTCATCAGCTTCGCTTTCAACCATGCAGAGACTGAACATTGCCTATGGAAAGAAAAGAAGTGTTATTAACCATTAAAAACAATGCCCAGTGAAGGTCCAGGAAGAAGATTTGGTTTTCCACCTTCGCTGAGCTCTGTTTTTCCATGGATAAGAATTCTAAACAGCAATGGATGTGTGAGTTAGAATGAGACCTATACCAAGTTTTGAATACTAACCCCATAGCAATCAATCTTGCAACTAAGTCCTTTTATCAATAAAGAAATATTCTGGAAAAACTGAAACAAATCCCTTTACTCCATCTATATATACTTCTTAACTAAGTAATTCAGGTGAAACCAATTGGAACAGTCACACAACAAGGTATCATTCAATAAAAAAGATAAACAACTGGACTCTAGAAAAAAATAAACCTACACAAGCACCAGCAGAAAGAATACTTATGTATAGTATCATTACATATAGGAAGGAACAATAAGCCATATACAATTACTTGTATGAGAAAAAGGGGCAGTTAACACACCCTCTTTTATAAACAAGCCTTTCCAAATAAGCATCTCAGACTGGAATATGAACAACATAATACTCAAGTTATTGAACGAGAAGGAAGGATGGAGATGCAGTCACCTGAACTTAGAACCTCCCCTTACTTGTTATTGCCTCAGCTTCTCAGATCATAAAACCTAAACTGAAGATTGGTAGGGTGCTATAAATTTTTCTGAAAATAACACTGAGGAGAGCAACTGCCCCTTTCATCCAGTCCTACTTTCCAAATCGTCAGTGTTCAGCAATTCTAGTCGTCTCTGGACCCTTGTAGGAATCTTTTTCCTCCCATCTCTGTTAAACTTAGACTCCTGTCTTTACTCCCCACTCTTCCTTCCCAGCCTGCACTCCTGCTGCAGTACCCTGACTTACCACTCCTTCCCTCCTCTTATCAGTCCCATTCTCCATTCTTTGTCACTCTCCCACACATTTTTTAACAAAATATACCACTCACAGTCTCTAGACAGTAAGCTGTGAACAAATAAATTGAACAGTTCTACCATCTGTCATTGCTAAAGAGATTCTAAACTTATCCCCAGGAGGTTTTGTGCCAAACTTAATGCCTTCACAGAGGCTACCACACTTCACCTGGAAAGCTCTACTGAAGAAGCACTTCTTAGGAACATACCCTCTGCTACCTCTGTCTCTAGTCTGCCTGATACCTGCAGAAGCTGAGGCAGTCAACAAGCACACTGGATTTCAAATGTGCAACCTGTCCACGAAGCACTGCTAAATTTAAAGGAAAAAATAAGCCCTACCCCCTCCAACATTTTAGCACATAGCATTCACCGAGACCCAGGCAGCTTCTCTCAAGAACTGAGCGTTTCCTGCAAATAAGTAATTTCTTCTGAAAATGTTAGTATTTTTATCATTAAAACACCATAATTTGACATAAATCTGATGCCTGGAAATTGTCCAGTGTAAGCAAGAGTGACATTTACCACATAGTCATTCCTTGTGTTTTGCAATTTCTATTTCAATAAAGTGACATCAGGGCTTCTTCCAAACTGGCAACAGAAAAGAATCGTCAAATAGTTTAAAAGGTTTATCAAACAAGTGTAGTAAGACACAGCCACGAAATATACCTAGGTAGAAAAAAAAAAAAATTGTAACAAGTTCAGACACTTTTCTAATTCCATTTAATAATGGAATCAGAGTTGGACATTTCATTGTCATTTAGATGTATCATATGAGCTTGAATTGCTACTGTGAGGCTTTCAGAGCTTGTCAGCAGCTGCAAGGTACCCATCAGCCACCTGCTCCTTGCAAAAGCAGACCTTCAGTTTGTGTCTGAAAGAGACAAGCTTCTCTTCTCAGAAATTCACTACTAAATACACTTTTTGGATAACATTCCTTTCACACATCAATTCCTGAATAAATAAAGTATGTCTCAAAGCAACACCTGTCTACCTACGGGTAAATCTGCACACCTTCTGTACACTCGGTTCCATCACAGACTGCCTGCAGAAAGGCTGGAAATGTTCAGTGATACAAGATCCTCCATGCTCTGCATTCTCTGACTGTGCTACAGCAACTGTCTGTACACTACATATCTGTACGTAGGAACCATTAAAAGACAGTGTGGTTACTAATAAAGTTTCTATTCTGATCAAGGGCTAATGTCCCACACAATGGGTCAGGCTTATAGATACAAAGAAACACTTAATTGAATCTCTTCTATGAAGAACTGGTAGAGTTTTTCTTTGTAGACTTACTAACTTTACCTTTAGGAGACTATTCTACTGTATCACAGAGATTCCAAGATGGTCCTTATACACAGTTTATTACTACACCGAATTTGGTAAACTCAGCAGAATGATGCTGCTAACACAATCACTGTCCAGAGTCATCCACAGCACTTAAACACAGCCTCCAGCAGAGTGTTGACTCCCTGAAAACCAGGACTTCCCAGGCTATGGTTCAGAGAATAACTCAAGCCACGGCTGTTCCAAACAGACAGCATGGATAAAGCCAACCTAATTGCAAAGGGAAGAAAGTTTTGCCATATGGACATGAGCCACACTGTGCCAGTCACTACTGGGGCCAGAAAACGAGTCCCCATCCATCCTATTTACTAGTACAGGCATAGCCTAATAGTGCAGAGGGCTATCAGAACTGTAGCTACCAGTAAGCCATAGCACTATGGCTTTGGGTGCCATCTGCTATGTGGAGTTCATTTTCTATCATGCTATCCTCTGAGTATTCATTTTCATACTGAGTATGAACTACATTTGTTTTTCAGAGGGCAAGACCAGAGAATTTGATCGAAAGATAAGGTCTGCAATGGTCCTCAGACAGTTCCCATTCAGCTGAACCGGATTAGCCTCCAGGAAAGTAGCCTCCCACACAGATGAACTTAGAACTGCCTAGTGATCCACACTGCCTTTACCAGCAGGGAAATTTCCTTCTCAGCCTGATAGTCTAAAGGTTTAAATCAGCATGAAAAAAACAAAAATCTGTTCAATCATAGGCAGAAATTGAGCTCAAACTCAAGTCTTTAATTTGCACTGTTGTACTTGAATATTGCGGGTTTAAGTGTAGAAACACATGGATCATTAAATTCTGGTTTGAGACTTCACCAATACCCAGAGAATGAGCTACCATTGGGCTGTCAAACTCTGATTTCAGATGCATTTCTGAAAACGCTCTGAGGTTTTGTGAGCTTAAATAGATCCATCAGTTATGCTTTTAAGGCAAGGATAGTAGCCTACTTTATTTTTCCCTTGAGTACACTAAAAACAAGGCAATAAGATAAACATCTCAGGTGGATGTACAAGTGACAGACAAGAAAAACAATGAAATATAAAATATTTGGACAAGTGCACAATTCAAAGTCAAACTTACCAGAAAAGTTACCAAATTTGGCTAAGCATGAAGTGTTAATTATTTTAGTTATTAATTTCATTCAACAATGCTAATATATCATACTTTACTTTAAAATACCTCTGCTTGGACAAAATAAAATCTCTTCGAAAATGCCTCATTTCTCCTCCAAGACCTTCATGAGAGTGGGCAGTACAAGCTGCCAATATGTCAACCAAAATCCCTTTTACAATAAAACCCACTGGTGAGAGGGCCTATCCTTTCTTCCCGTTCCTTTAAATATCCAAGTCTTGTTCTGCCACCCAGTCAATGAACCAACATTGTGGGAAATAAAACGATTGTTTAAAGTCTGCTGGTTTAGTCAAGATTTTAATTAAGTAAACCAGAAGAAAAGTAAACTGAATCCACCTGCCATTCTGTGGCAACTGCTCCAAAATTCAGGTTTCAACATCCTGTCATAAATGCATATATTCCATTGTGAAATTCCACCCAAGCTCACACTTGTTCAAGAAGCTACAAATTAGGATGGCCTCATTTTTGTGCGTCAGGCAGACACTGTATAGGTGTAAAAACAGGAGGAAGGGAGGAATCAACCCCCCATTCTTCTAATCTTGGCCTGAAACAGAAACAGAGCTAGAGAACTATTCCCAAAGGAGAAAGAAAACAGAGCATAAAACCTTGGATAAAAATAATCAAACCATAAAACAACTCTCAGATTCTTGAATCTTTGACTTCAAAGTAACATGGCACGTTGGTGGGTGTTTAATACACAGCACACTTGCATGCAGTTTCACTACTTCGCCCTCAGCAGACAAAGGCACCTTTATAATTTTTTTTTTTTTTTCTGCAAACATAGAAGACAAAAGATGACAAGAGCTCAAAACTAAACGGCACACAACAACATGGTGACTAGGCTCAGATATGATCAGATCTGATGGAACTGGGCAGAATAGCCTGAGTACAAGATGCTTAGCAGTCATTTGGTCTAACTTTCCACGCTCAGCTTCTGCTGCTGCTTAGCTTTCAAAAGCAATGCAAGGTGGGTGTAAAACCCTACCAAATCCGAATAATGTATTACTGTTAAAATAAGTATAAATGAGAGAAAAAAAAGGCTAGATACATCGATTTTATCACTCAGGCAGCACCGCAGCAACACGTACAACTTTAAGAACAGACACCAGGGTCACAGAAACACAACGTGATATTCAAAATCTTCAAAATACAAATTGCTCAGTTGCAAGCGTGAGGCACAAAGTTGTTCCTTGCTTTTAGTCATTTTCTTTCTTACTCAGATGTTCCATATCCACGAGAGTAATGAGCTTGTCCTCATTTGTACACATCAATCTTACAGCCATGTCAGGCATAGCAAGCAGTAAATCATCACGGAACAACTTAACCAAGTTGTAGGATATTTTACAGAAGTTAACTCTTTCAGTGAATTCCATGCAACTTAGTGGCCTTTTACAGGCAAGAAACAGAATCAAAACATATGCAGCCTCAGGAGACAGGTAAATTAATATAAAAAGAATAAATGGTTATGCTGTTAAAAAAAAATACAGTGCCCGAAGTTATAAGTAACTTACTGCTATGACCTGGGGAAACAAACTGGAATTATTATTATTGAGCTTTTATAAGCTTTCTGCTGGGATGTTAAAAAAAAAAATAAATAAATTGAACAC